AAAAAAAAAAAAAAAAAAAAACCTACCAGCAGCCCCATTCCTCCCCCATGATGATATTTTGAGAATTACCATCTTTATTTAAGATGAAACATGTATTTAAGAGTGTATGGAATCATCACTGAAAATTCTAGATGCAGCCGACGCTAGGAAATGTGTGGGCTTTAGAAAGTACTCCTTCCTCCCCCGCCAGCCCCTCCCTACAGTGTGTTCATCATACTTCTGCTGTGATAACACTTTCTTTTCCTCTGGTCTGTTGTTTCTTCCGTGAGCATTTACTAAATGCCAGTTCTGTGCCAGGCACAGTACGAGAGCTTGCAGGAGAGACATCCTACCTGCCAATACAGAGCACCTCTTGCAGAGCCCAGAAGACTCAGGCCTGGGTTTTTCCCTATCAGAAGCCAGAAAACACTTGTTGTCTTCTGAGATTCCCCTGTTGCCTGCTTCTACCTTGGAGCATCCACCTGAGGAATGTCCCCCTCTCACCCCACCGGCTCCTGCGGCTTGGCCCAAGGGACCGCTGGGGGATTGATTGCGCAAGCCTTTGGCCCGGCTTCAACTTGCCGCGGCTCTTCCCCCGCTTGTGGTCACAGCCAAGGGAAGCCTGGTCCCCGACTCTGAGGCCCAGATGTTGCAGGTTCCCGGAAGGACTTACCCGACGGCTTGTCTGTGGAGGATGGGAGGCTGGTGAGGGTGGGCATGGTGGGCAGAGGGGGCGGCAGCACCTTCAGGTTCTGGTCGCTCTGGATCTCATTGGTGGAGATCTGGTTGATGATGCGGTTGTAGGGGGGCGGCTGGTAGACGCGGGGCGGGGCGGCGGGGGGCGGCTGGGGCACAGGCCGGGCGACAGGCACCCGCTGGCAGTGCTCCTCCAGCTGCGCGATGATCTCTGACTGGTTGTGGGCCAGTGTGGCCAGGTGCTGGTACTTGTGCTCCAGGTCCTTGTACTTGCTGGCCAGCTGCAGCATGTCAGCCGTCTGGTTGAGGATCCTGTTCTCCAGCTGGGAGAGCTCGAGCGCATTGTCCCGCTTGCGGATGATCTCGTGCAGGAGCTGCATGTAGAGCTGTGTGACCCGTGAGTTCATGTTGCGGCTTTCCTTGCGCAGCAGCTTCACCTCGCTCACGATGCCGCCGTCCACCTCCACGAGCTGCTGCAGCGTCTCGATCTGCCGCTTCTGCTTGAGCAGCTCGTTGTTGAGCAGCTCCAGCTCCTGCTTGTGCACCCGGTTCTCCAGGAGCACCTCGGGCTCCTTGGAGTTGACGCAGATGGCGCCCGTGACCCGCTGCTGGGGAACGATGAAGGTGTAGGTGCACTTGTCCGAGGACTCGCCGGCCCGCTTGTACCTGTTCAGGTAGATGAACTCGCTGGGCGAGCCCTCCTCTGTGCCCTCAAAGCCCTCCTTCTGGCCCATAGCCGCTCCCAGGGCGGCCAGCAGTCCCAGCCACCAGCACGTCACGCACAGCGGCCTCATGGTCCTTGCAAAGTGGGGGTTCTTCTTTGAGAGCAGAGACTATGAAACCCTGAAAGTAAACAGAAGGGGAGACTCAGTAAGGGTCCTGTCACTGCCAGCGGCCTGTGCCATAGGTGAGCTCAGCCTTCTTATCAGGCAGATGTTTCCTAAAACGCAGCTTCAGGAGGCAGCCCTTCCGGGAGCCACAGAAGGAAACAGGCAGGCCCGGCAGAGGTAGGAAGGAAACAGGGGGGGACCGGGCATCTGAAGGCAGCAGGCCGAGGCCCCGCCGCTCCTGGAGCCTGAGAACCACACGAGGGCAGCTTGAAGCTGGGAGGGGAGGCAGAGGAAGGGTTGTCCCATCTCCCTCCTCCTCTGCCTCCCACTCCTCAGACCATTTAGCCTCCCCCTGGACGTGCCCTTTGTAACACCCATCACAGTTGAGATGAATCTGAATTCTGTGTGATCTCTTCATGGATCTACGCTCCATAAAGGCCAGTGCTGTGTCTGTTTCCATCCTGTATCCCCAGGATGCTGCACTAAGCAAGCTTTCTGCAATATTTGTTAAATGAATGATTTGCTAGACATAGTATGGATGTGTTCAGTTTGTAATGAACAGTGTCAATGGAGGGATGTGTCTAGTCACGTGGCTTTGGTCTGTGTGTTAGCCAAGCTACAGAGCCCAAACAGGAGCAAACAACTCTTCTAAATCCAGATATTTCCAGCAGCCAGTAACTGCACGGTCCCCATCACTGCAACGTGATTAAGCCAGGTGGGAGAAGAAAACAGACACGTGTCTCCAGATTTGTTTCAGTTCTATTCTTAGACCACTTGTTCCTTCCCCAGATATCCATTGAACATCTGTGGTATGCCAGACGGTGTGCTGGCTGCTGGGGATGCAGCTGCAAACAGGACAGAGCCAGCCCCTGCCCTCACGGGGCTTACCCATCATTACACAGCCCCTAAGTGCCGTGAGGCAGAAGCAGTGTATCCAGTGGAAGGGTAGAACAGGGAACTGACCTAACCAGAGGGGTCAGGAAAGCTTCTCTGAGAAAGTGACCTTTATGCTGACCCTGGAGTGTTGAGTAGGAGTGAGCCAGGCCAAGAGGGAGGGGACAGGCGTGCACAGATCGCTCCTCTCGCCTACTCAAGGACGTGGCTCCAGCAGCTCTCCCCCAGCTCTCCGGCATGATCACATTTTTTCTACAGTCATGCTGTTATTTCTTTCAACTTAAAGAGAATCCTCTCTTGACCTCACATCCCTTCTCCAGCTACCGTTCCATTTCTGTGCTCCCCTTTCTAGCAAAACCCTCTGAAGAGTTGCCCACACCCACTGTTTCCAGAAAGTCCCTCTCCTCCTGTTCTCTCTTGAGCGCATCCCCATCAGGCCTGGCCCCGTCCCCTCAGTTCCGAGTGTCCTAGACAGGATCGCCAGGGGCCTCACTTGCCAGACCAAATGGCCAGTTCCTGGTCCTCACTGATACTTTGCCTCTCAGCACCCGGGGGACATGGCAGATCACTCCCTCCTTGGACTTCCTTCCCCAAACACCACCCTTGCTTCCTGTCTCACTGGCTACTCCTCAGTCTCCTTTGCTGGTCCATCCCCAACCCTGTCCTGGGCAGGGAGGGGGTGGACAGAGCTCAGTCCTCAGACGTCTTCTGTACCTTGGTGATCTCATCCATTCTAGCCTGGGCCTCACCCTGAGTCCAGACTCATATATCCAACTGCCTCTTCGACATTTCTGTTCAACTACTACTGCTGCCACTGCTACCGCGCATCTCAACCGTAACTCGTCCGGAAATGAACTCCTGGGGTTCCCCACATCTCCATCCCAGCCTGTTCATCCCAGTTTCTCCTGCGTTAGCAAATGGCAACTCTATTCTGATTGCTCAGGCCAACGAACTTCGAGTCATCCTTGACTCCTTTCTTCCCGTCATACCCCACATCTGATTCACCACCAAATTATAATAGCAATATCCTGGGACTGTTCCCAGGATCCTATTGCTTCTCTCCACCTCCCCTGGTACAGCCCACCTTCACCTCTTGCCTGGACCTGACTGGTCTCCCTGCTCCCGCACTTGCCCATTACAGCATCTCCTCAGCCCAGCAGCCAGAGTGAACCTTGTAAAAAAGTCAGATCAAGTCACCCTTCTACTCAGAATCCCCTGGTGTCTCCTCGTCTTGGAGAAAAAGCTAACGGGTCTCTAAGGCCCCCCGCTCTGGCCCCACTCCCTCCCTGACCTCGTCTCGCACTTGCTCCAGCCATGCTGGCTTCCCGGGCGTTCCTCAAGCGCACCGATGGCGCGGGACCTTTGCACTTGACCTGGCCTAGAACACTCTCGGCCCCTTCCGTGTTGCACACTCCCCCCCGCCGCTTTCAGGTCTTTGCTGAAATATCACCTTCCCAGTGAGGCCTTCCCTGCTTACTTAAAATTGTGACCTCGCCACCTTCCCCCTCCAGAGTCCTTGTCACCATCAGGCATGTAGTGTCTCCCTTCCAACCCCCGAGAGTGGAAGCTCCGTGAGGGCAGGGGGCTTGTCTGTTTTGGTCACTCCTCACCCGTAGTGCCTAGCACAGGGCCTGGAATATGTAGGAGCTCAGTGAATATTTGTGGACTGAATGAAAAGACACAGCCACCGACAGTTGCCATGAAGTGGGGAGTGCTACGAAAAGGGGTGTAGCAGGCGGGGCCGGGGAGCCCCCGGCAAGTGACTGCCTGAGGGCGTGGGCGTGTATTACATTTATTACTACCATCTCTAACATCCACTTAGTGAGTGCCCACTGTGTACCCGACCCTGCACTCAACATTTTGCAAGGGTTTTCTACTTCATTGAATTCTCACAATGGCTTCTTGGTAGATAACTGTTGTTTTTTCCGTTTTAGTTTTTTTGTTGTTGTTATTTGTTTTTTGTTTGTTTGTTTGGCCGCCACGCGCAGCATGCGGGATGTTAGTTCCCCGACCAGGGATCGAACCCACACCCCGTGCAGTGGAAGCACAGAGTCTTAACCACTGGACCGCCAGGGAGGTCCCTCCATTTTGCAGATGAGGAAACTGAGACTCAGCGAGGCTAAGTGACTTGCCTAAAATCACACAGCTAGAAGGTGGCAGAACCAGGACTCAGCCCTGGCCTGATGTACTCAAACCTTCAAACTCTTAATGACTACACAGAAACGTTCTTAATCTGGTTTCTAGTAATAAAGTATTAGCATCATGACTTTCTGTTTTCACATTAATTTACCCTAAAATAACAACCATGACACAGAACCTGAAGGTTTTGTCTTCCCCAGACCCCTCTGGGGGCTTCTCTGGTGGGCAGCCTGGACAGCAGGAAGTTACAGAACAGACCCCGTGCTCTCCAGGGCCACGCTGAGCTGCTTTCCACTTGAATGAGGAAGCCCCAGCTTGGTTCCGAAGGCCAGCTCAGGCCTTTCAGGCCAGGCAGAGAAAGGTGTTTGGAGCCTCTGGTGTGGGTTGAACTATGAGGTTAGGGCTGCAGTGACGTTAGTGTAAACCTCGCTGAGTTTGTGAGCGTTTGCCTAGTTTCCAGCGCACTTTTAGCTGCTCCTGTGCCGGCGGCCACACCCAACCCACACCAATGGGGAGGAGCCGCCCTCCTGGCCTGGGCCGGCCTGCCGGCGCTGCCTTCCCACAGGCCGCTCACCTGCCTCTCCATGCTGCTGTGTTGCTGATTGCGGATGCCAGCGAGGGCTCCACCTTGGCCAAGTTACTGCCACAGGACCAGGAAGGCAACTTGGCTTCAGGCCTCGAGACCTGGCATGGTGGCACTGTTTACCACTGAGTTCTGTCCCCTCCCAAGTGTGGGCTCTCACAGCTTCCCAGGCAAAGTTCTGTGCCCTTGGGCTTGAGATCCTGAAGGCTGAGCCTCTTCTGTGAAGTGGGGTGATCCAACCCACCTTGCACAGTAGCTAAGGACTGTGGAAGTGCTTCCAAAACCAGAGGTGGGGATGGCATGATAGCAGCATGAGAGCACCAGCAAAGCCGACTGGCGGCGAGGAGTGCTGACCACACTCCGGCAGTGTGTCCAGCACGTGTACCATCTCCTTGATCCTACCATCCCCCCCAAGGAGATACCAGGACTAACTGTCCCATTTGACAGCCGAGGGCCTTGTTCCATGTCACAGAGCTGGGCCTGCCCAGGAGTTCTGTCTAGCCTCACCTCCCACCCTGAAGGAGTCCGCTGGTTGGACTGGTCCTCGCTGTCGTGGGGTCCCTAGCATCTCACACAGCACTGGGCACAGAGCGGGGAGGCACCAGACGTGCAAACGCAGTCAGAAACATTGCAGTCTTTAAAGAGCATTTCTTGTAGCTGTTCAATTAAAAAGAGAACGAAACTTGACGGTTAACACTCCTACAGCTTTTTAGGTTCACGAGGCCCTGTACATACACATTATCTGTGTAATCACCACGACCTTCAGAGCCGGTTAGTAGTATTATGCCCATTTTGATGGTGAGAAAACTGAAGCTCAAGAGGGCGTCAGGTAACTTGCTCAAGGTTGCACTGCTGCTGGTGGGACCAGTCGTGAAGCCACACGATTTTGGGTCTTACTGTCACATTTCTGTGGGGTCTGGGCTTGGCGGGAGTGACCTGGAGCCAATCGGGTTACAAGAAGGAAGGGAAGGAACAGGGCACTGTGCTAGGTGCCTGACATACACTGTCCCAGGGAATCCAGCAAGGTTGGTATTCCCCCTAGTTTATAAATGGGGGCACCAAAACCCGGACAGGCTAAGTGACTTGCCCAGGAGCACATGGCAGACAAGAGCCAGAGCTGACTCAGCCTAGAGCTGGGGTCAGCCTGACACCAAGGGCTGTGCTCTTTGTGCTGCCCTGGGCCTTGGAGTAATTTATTTTCCTTAAAGGTTCCAACCCCCTCCTCAGTTTTTTGCAAGTTTGGCAGTTCTTAATGGGCAGTAATGAGCTTGTTTACTTTTGCTCTCTTGATATTTATTCAACTAATTGCATCCCAAGAGAAATAACTCCCCAGCATTCCAGCCATCTTAGGCCTGGAGAAGAACTCAACTCCAATCGAAGAGATGCTCCTCAGTTTC